CTTTTTGGAGATGCAGATTTCATTTTCCAACAGGACTTGGCACCTGCACACAGTGCCAAAGCTACCAGTACCTGGTTGAAGGACCATGGTATCCCTGTTCTTAATTGGCCAGCAAACTCTCCTGACCTTAACCCCATAGAAAATCTATGGGGTATTGTGAAGAAGAAGATGCAATACACCAGACCCAACAATTCAGAAGAGCTAAAAGCCACTATTAGAGCAACCTGGGCTATCATAACACCTGAGCAGTGCCACAGACTGATCGACTCCATGCCACGCCGCATTGCTGCAGTAATACAGGCCAAAGGAGGCCCAACTAAATACTGAGTGCTGTACATGCTCATACTTTTCATGTTCATACTTTTCAGTTGGCCAACATTTCTATAAATCCTTTGTTTTTATTGGTCTTCAGTAATATTCTAATTTTCTGATATGATGAATTTGAGATTTTCATTTGTTGTCATTTGTAATCATCAAAATTAAACAAAATAAACATCTGAAATATATGAGTTTGTATGTAATGTATGAATATAATATACAAGTTTCACTTTTTAAATGGAATTACTGAAATCAATCTACTTTTTCATGATATTCTAATTTTATGACCAGCACCTGTACACTTAAAATGGCTCTGTACCCTTTCAGAAACATTTTATCAACTTGGCTCTGTTTTGTCCAAAGTTTTAGACTCATAGGAGTAAAACGATGAAGAGGAGATCAGCTTTTGAAACCTCTGTGGAACAAATAGGAATCTGTACCTAGATACATTTCCAGACTATAATTAATTGTGTTAAATCTAATTTTATAACCTGCATTTATGGTTCTCTCAACTTTTGCAGTTTGTTGTATTTTTTATGTTATCTTCATTGTGTTCTTAAAGAAGTGATTCATCTGTATGCTGAATATCTTTAAGTGGTTTATTCTAAATATAGCAATGCATGGTTGGTCCAGGAAAAGCTGCAAAATGTTCAGAGTTGCCTCACCAGCCTGCATGTGCACTCTTGCTCCCTGTTCAATGCATCATGTGTAAACTTAGCTTTCAGGCTGTCCTGGTGCTTTCCTCATTCAGTCATGGAATTAACTTTCCCCAAACTCTCCAACTGATTTTCAATCTTGAACAATTACAGTGTATTCTAGAAACTTACCAGATACAGTACTCCTCTGGAACGTTCCCCTAATACCTGGATCCCTTTTCCAGGAACATAAATGGTAAATGGCCAGTACAAATTATAGCAAGTTGTTTCCATCACGCAGCAGGTGCTCTTCTGAAACAGACAGATGCTTTCCTGAAGCACACAAGGCACTGTCACAGAGCTGGAAGGTTGGTTTCCTGAAATCAACTTATACTTCCCAGGGAATTTTAATTGTACCAGATGAATTTTCCTTGGAAATCCTGGCAAAGTATCTTGTTACAAGTCATCTCATGATAAAGCCTGGTTCCTGACAGAAAAGTCAGTCACTTCCAAGAGAATCTAATAATGTGACCTCCAAGTGTATTTTGTAATCTTAAGGTTATTAAAATGTTTATTTTAATCTTTTTAAATAGTTTATGCATATTAAGGGTTTATGTTTTCCTCCAAGGCAGACTTTGCTCAGCTGTCATCTTATCGTGTTTTTTCTCTAACTTTGTGCTCCTCTCTGTAGAGTAACGGTATTTTAAAAGTAAAAGTCTTGACATTTTATCCTATTCTCGGTATTTGTCACTGCTGAGTGGATGTTTTTGAATGATGGCTCCAATCATCCCTGCTATTATACAGTAAGGAAAAAAAGCTTAGTTCGTGCTTTAACTGTGTATGGGGGAGGATTTGGCACGCAGCTCTCCGGTGTTTGGCTCTCAAGTGCATCCTCTCTCATAATGTCTGTGTTTTATTTCACTATTCCTTTGTGGTTGGTGGTTTTTACAGCTTTACTTGCCCCTTTAAAGCAGTTGTATGTACAGCAGAAGCATTCTGTTGAGGTGTCATCCTTCATTCAGAGTCAGCACTGTGATAATGAGTAGATTTGGAGATACACTCTGCGGGCTGCCAGTGAATGTAGGCACACGCGTGGTTATGTTTGGACGTCTGTGCATATTTACACAGTCTGCTTATATGTGGATATATCTATTGCACACTACGCTAGCTGCATGTGTTGATGCACACATCTGATTCTGTGTATGTGTGTGAGAGATTTCCAGCGTGTGAATATGTCAGGCTGCCGCAGGAGACCAATTAGCTGGTGCATCAGTGAAGAGGTGAGCGTAGACACACCTGTGTGTGGCCCTATTACACCAGCTCATCACACACTCGCATACCGACACACAGACAGCATTGCTGTGCTCATAATAGAAATATACTGACAGTTACAGTACGTTGACCATATGGAGTAATGACTTCACCGTGTCAAACTGTCAGTCGTGAGTCACCAGCAGGCCTTATTTCGACTGCATGTTGCTAACTTAACAAACTTTTGTGATTTATAGGTTATCTTGCTGCTGCTGAATGCTTGTCGTTAGCTATATGTACTTTACAACTGAAAAATCCTCGACCTTAAGCCACATGCCTTCATATACAGGTATGGTGCACCGATGCAATTAGGTGAAAGCAAAAAGGCAGATCACAGCCAATAAAGCAGCCCGTCCTCTTCATGTATAATTCAGATCTTTTATGGTGGGCTACGCACCCATATGGAAATCCTAAAGGAGGACTAAGGCCATTTCCAGCCAGAGAAAAGCCCCTTTAAAAGCTAATCCCCACACTAGAGTCCCACACTTTTTACTGTTCCTTTTTTAATGAATAGGTGTCCAATAAGGCCTTTTATTGTCTTAGCATATGTTGCTTTTATTAGGGGAAAATAATTAGGTTGCGCGTATCACTTTAGAAGTCCTCTCAGGATAAAAATTAGATAGTTTCACAGTCGTTGCGCAAGTCCTTCTGATTCCCCATCATTTTCCCCTTGGATGCCCCGTGTCCTGTTGCCCTTACCTTCTTCCCTTCCTCCTTTCCTACTCCTTCTCTTTGTCCCTTCTGTCGCCTTATTGTTCTCCTCCTCTTGTCCTTTGCATTCCTTCATCTTCATTCCTCACATCCTCTTCTTTTGTTTTCTTGAACACACGGGGGGATGGGGGGCATTAAATGTATGCTGCAATGTTGTGCTGGGCTGCACCTTTACACACGCATGTAACAGATGAACAATCACATCGTGGCAGGAGGCTGTTGATGACTGACACTATGTTGATCTTATCAGGTGCAAACTGGGTAAGTAGAGGGCCACAGGGAGAAAAGGAGAGTAATAGTGCTTTGGCAGGTGATGGTGGAGGGTGCTTTGTGTTGTGTTCCTCTCACTCCAGCATAGTCTCCCCCTCTGTTCTTCCTCTATCTTTCTCATCCCCTACTACATCACCTTGCTTTTCTCGAAAGGAAGACTGGCAACAAGGCTCATCTGTGATCTGGGACACCAGGGAAAGGGATCCATTTACCTCCAAGATGTCATACTGTAATCGTTTACCCATGAGACCTCAGTTACAGAAACATGGTATGGCCGGTCATGTAAGTTATGGTCTGGGGGGATGGGGCTGCAGGCCAATAAGGATCTGTAGGTAGCTGATGGAAAATAGGGAGTCAAGCTAAAAAGCAGAGGGGCAGGGTAGGGCAGGCAGACAGAGAGATTGAGCCTCATGATGAAGTAAAGGTCTGAGAACCATGTAGGAGGCTGGTTCTTTCATTCTGCCCTTAATGCTCCTCTGGGGAGCGTGCTGCCTTGAGGTGAGTATTAGCCATCGGCCTGTGGGCTAATGGACGGGACAAAATATAGTTTAGTCCATACAGATGACCAGAGGTAGACTAATCACTGGGGACACCTGTGATGAACAGGCTTTGTGCTTTTAACCAAACTATGGGGCCCGCTGAGGCGCTCCCTTAAGGAGCAACAGGAAAGGTACACACTCTAATATTATCACCTTTAGCTTACAGAACACATTAGCTGTGGCATTGTTTCAATGAACTTCTACAAAATGTATTTCTGCATTAAGAAATGATGGGAGAGTTGCTGTTTGCTCTTACATCATCACCCTGGAAGACTGTTAGCTCGTCTGACCAAACCACTTCCATCTATTGCTCCACAATCCAATCCATATGTTCCAAAAAATATTCAATTGTATTTTTTCACAACTCAAGAATTCTTCAAACCATTTTTTTTTTTGAAGAGCATTGTTTCTCCTGTTAAGGAGAAACTGTTAAGCAGTTCTTAACCCTTATGTTGGATTACTAGACAATAAAGAAAAAGCATTGGTTAATCCATCTTTATGAGCCATGTTTTATGCTTTTTAAAGTTAAATAACGCAGTAAATAAGGTGTTTGATACCATTTCAATGTATTGAGGACCATCTGTGGGTGATCAAGTGAACAATGATGCTCCCTCCAGGCTATTACTGGAGTTACTTTCCAAAAACATGGCTTTCTCAGAAGTTACACATCATTAGGGCTCAGCAGCAAAAAGCTGTCACAGTCAGAAGTAAACCTTGAGACATAAAGAATGTTTTCAGTCCTTCTGGAAGCTAAAAATAAATTTAAAAGTTTGAGATTAGGCTCAATTATTGCTTGAATTTGATGATCTAAAACATATTATAAAAAGCTGTGTGTTGTTTCAAAATGTTATAACGTGAACACAAAAACAAAAAAATAAACTTAACTCCAATGTTCTCAGTCAATCTGACCAAAAAAATGCTAACATGCTATCTAACATCCTGTCTGTGTACCACAGGCGAGGTTACAGAGGCCCCCTCTGATTCGCTGCTGTGTCAGTCTGCTTTTTTAAAGTGTGTGCTGAGGTGTTTTCGGTGCTAATCTCTTTTCATCTTGGTTGAGTGGTCAGGCTGAATGGATGGACAGCTTGTTTATCTGAGAGGGGACCTTATTACCCGGGATTCCTACAGCAGAGAGGCCAGGCACGCTCAGCTAAGCCGCCAGCTCCCAGCTAGCTTCCCATGGCTAAAGGCAAACAAGGATCAGCAGTCAGGATGCTTTGCTTTCAATGGTTATTTATTAAATGTAAAATATCTTTAGCACAGATTAAAAATCAGACACTTCCATATATTTTAAACATCACAGGTAGGGAAAAAAAAGAAACATTCCTAAAAACAGAATCCCAACCAGTTCAGAGTTAGAGGGTAGCTACTCCACGAGGCCGGACAGAGGGTTTTAACTGAAAACTGCACTCCTCCTGATCCCTGTACTTCATCCATAATACCCCTAATTTTACAAAATAACTTTTTTTTCCAAATAACTTCAGAATTTGCCTTGAATTGATGAGGAACTAAAACGTGAAATAAACATTAAACTTTTATTTAGAAGCAGAATACATTTGTTTTCTGTCAGCTTGCCAAACTTAAAATAACTTTTCATAAAAACGGAAAAAAAGGAAAGGGCGTTGGCATGGCAAGCATGAATGTATACTGTAATGATCTGTAGTCGGTGCCAGGAGGCAGCTTCTAAAACTGCGTCCCAGTCATGATCGCTCTGCCAGTTTTAGTACTGCTGCTCAACTGGAGTGCCATCACAGGGGTCATCTGGTAAAAGCCCCTCTTTGTCTCTCTCTCCTCTGCCTCAACCCTCGCCGCTGTACAAATGCCAACTTGACAACAAATGACACAGATGGTGAGCAGAAACACAGGACAGGCCATGGAAGAGAACCACCCACAGGAGTAAGAAAACAGGAAGACTCTACACACACTGTCCAAGCGAGGATATTGCCTGACATTAATATCAACTCGTTCATTTTCCCTTTTTTACTGTATTTAATTCTTTTTTTTTTTCATTTTTTATTATTTATTTTTTTTACTTTTCTTTCAGCGCATGCCATGTGAGAATTTAGGGATTATAAAAGTACCTGAAAGAACTGCAAGGTTTTCTGCATGCATAGACTTTGGTATTTACAGGTTTGTATGTACAGACTAAAACCAGACTGCTCTACTGAGATGGCTTATTTACACATTTAGGTCAGCGGGAGAGATTGATGTCATAAGTACAGATGTGAGGGTTCAACGGGGTCACATGCATAGCTCTTACAGCTGAGTACAACTCTGATGACAAAGAGAGACACAACAGAACACAGCAAATGTAAAAATACAGATTTTTCACTCACAAAGCATCTTATTCGTTCACCTTTTGCTTTGCAAATATGCTAAGTATGACTTCTAGTTATTGCTCAACACTTTATTAGGATATTTCTATTGCCAGTCTATGAGGTTCTTTAATATTGGGACAATATTTTGATTGGAAGACTTTGATCTGGCCCAGAGATGTTCCAGCGCTGTAATGCTGGATCCAAAACTAATGCAAGCTTGCACTGCTCTTCAACTTCCACCAAAAAACACATTATTGCAGGGTACATTTCCTCATTATTTGCATTTTTAACCATAAATCTTTACACAGAAATAGTGTCCAGAGAATAGGCTGTCAAATTTTTCTACTATGCTAATCCTTTGGCTTTTCTCTCTGTGATATGTTCTGTTGCTGGCATATTCTTTAAGTCTTTTATTTGTTTTTCTGTCACTTTCTCGACAGTCTTTAGATTATTAAGGTATACATTTGATGACATGCTCATGGTCCAGTCCTATTAGGTTAATTAAAGTTTCCCATATTTTTTCAGTGTAGATTATCTCTTCCTCCAGTGCTTTGCAAAGTATTCATATCCCTTGAAGTTTTTTTTTTATAACCTTACATTACAATTATCAGCAGTAAATGTATTTTAACATGAGTTCTTGTGATCATGGTAATATAAAGTATAATTGAAAGGAATGGATTTCAGGCTTTCACCATGTTGCTTTAAGCCCCCTTTACTTAGATATATCCGGTATCCAGTCTAACTCATTAAAACAAACTACCCTCAGAGTAAAACATGTCAAAAGAAACATATATTAAATGCTTTTCTTCAGCAAAGAACACAAAACTGGTCTAAGAAAGCCTGTTAGGAACAGTAAAAACATGAGACTGAGACTGGGCTACACCTTCCAGCAAGACAATGATCCCAAAACAAACAGCCTGAGCTACAATAAGATACAAGCTTATTGGTGTGTTACAAATGAGAAGCATGTTTGTTGAGCTGATATTCACGGGCATTTATGCCTTCTATCCATCCTTAAGAGCTTGAACTATTTTGGAAAAGAATAGCCAAAAGAATTTATCTAAATATGCAGAGCTAGTGGTTAAAAACACCAAGATGACCTGCAGATTTAGTTGCAGCACAAGGTGGTGCAAAATATGCATACACACAATTTCTATTACATGAAAAATCAAGAAAATATATGGAATGTTATGACAATAACATTATTGTGAAAAGTGTGCAAGGGATGTGAATAATTTTGCAAGACACTGTTACTCTTTACAGCTGCAAATATTTGCGTTTTCCTTGAAAAAAAAATTCTGGATGTTTAGTTTAAAACATTTCAGAGGGTGTCTGTGACTAGCTGGGAGACTGCTTTTTCAAAGAAGGATCTTCCATTTATGAGTTTTTTCCTTTTTGCTATTCTGCACAAAACTGCCTTGAATCTTAAGTCTTTTTGTTAAGCTTTAGAGATTCCCCGAATTGATTTCAAATCCCAGTTCACAGCTCTAGTTGGAAAAGAGCAAAACACAAGGATGTTTCTCAGAAAAGTACTGTACACAAGGTAATGATTAACATTTAGTTAAAGAAGATAAAGATACACACAGAGTTTGCAGACAGCTACATTTACAAACCTCGTTTGCACTCAGACACGGGTTGGAAATGGCTACTCTTTACGTTTTCCCCTCTTTTCTTCATGTTCTTCTCCTTTTGCTTATAAACTGTTACTCGTGTGTCATAAATGCTCGTACAAATGGCCTTCTGCGCAAAAAGATGTGTAAAAAATGTAGTTCTCATTCCCCGTACCTCTACCTCGCACACACTTTGGCTATCCTATCTGCAAATGCACACACAATGATAAATGGCTGTGGTGGGTGGCTAAGCATGTTAATGCCTAATCTTATCAGCCTTATCTCTTACAGAGGTCACAGGATCAAGTGGTGTGGGGCTGAGCTAAACACCAATAAGATTGTACAAACAGTCCATGTAATAGTTTATCTGCCACGAACCGCACTGCTGCATTCTGGGTTTACTTTTCAAAGGATGAAAAATTCAGATAATAAAAGTTTCATTTGAAATTACTGCCAGATCAGTGTTTGGTAATTGAGTGCTCAGAAAGGCAGCCAAGTTCAAGGTGTTTCAGCGTCTTGGAGCCCTGCTTTCCTGAACTCCTCTGTCAAGTTTAAAGGCAGGGTTGCCTCTTAGTCGAGCAAAATCAGATGCCCTCAGTGAGGGAGATGAGTTATACCAAGCGCCTGTGAACCTGTAACTCTGAGACACTGTTTGGCATTTAAGCATCTTTGATATGGCGACATGTGACGTGGATAAAGTTATCGCCCGGCTGGCAGGTGAGACAGACAGCGGCCTACAGAGAGATGCAGCCGTTTCATCTGCTGTTTACCAGCTCTCTCATCACACACCGCTTCAAACACGCTGAATCTGAACACACAGCGTACAGGAGGGGGGCTGACTGCACTGGTTTGTGTGTATTGATGAAATGAAAACATTTTCCTTCTTCATTTATCGCATATGCATTTTGCACATTTTTATTCAAAAATTTCACTTTATGTATTAGCCTCACAGCTGCTTTACGAAGCTGTTCAAACAGTTGGCAAGTAATGGTTCTCCATTATGCATGTGTATTTATATATATCTATGTGTTTGACTATTGCACATATGGGCTTGTCTCGGTGCGAGCCAGTGCTCTGTGCTAAAACTCTCATCACTCTCATCGGGAGATAAAGTGGGCAAACCATTTAATGTGGTCGTACAGAAGTCGTCTCCAACCCCGGGTGTTTCACGGGGAAGCTGTCACAGCAGCTTTTAGCTGGAGCTGCAACATGAAAGATCCCTCTTTGAGCAGTCGGGTTATGTGTGTAATTCTCTCTGACGTGTTTATTCAACTTTCATTTTCAAATGTCACAGAAATCTCTTGCCCGCCACCACATCCACCTCTTCCAAGAATATCCCCACTAATTACAGACTGAAAGGACATGGTGTGTTAGAAAACTTAGCACGTAACACCCTTTCAGTGTTAGAGAACAACATAAAACTCTGTGAGTTTTTAGGTTTAGGACCGAATGATGTTGAAAACTAAATGTACTTAGAGAAAACTAGTGAGAAAGCCGCCAGTCTATGTATGCTTACTGAAAAAAAGCAATTTTTTTCTATAATTAACTGACATATAACTTGGGTACGGAATTATTCTTGCATAAAATCCTAATGCTTATATTTAACTTTAAAAGCCTGGCTCAATCACTGTACACATAATGTGAAAATATACATCCTTATTTCCACTCAAACCTGTTTTTCTATTATTATTTATATAAAAGCTGCATTTTTAGCTGAGATTCACGTCCAAACTGGAGTTATTTTAACCCTTTTTCACTGCGCCGGTGCATCTTGAATAGTCCTGTACATGCCAGGTAAAGATAAATAAATATATGTACAGTTAAGTTGATATGAAGCAGTCCTCAGTGGCTGCTGAGAGAAGGGTGAGACAGCTTGTGTGTAAAAGTCTTTAATTTTTTTTCCTGCGGCCGCTCAGTCCTGCTGTCTCCTTTTTCCGACTGTCTGCATGTATGCGTTTATCTCCTAAACGATGGATGCTGCCTGCGTCCCCCATTCATCCTCTCTCTTGACAGGGCACCTCTGAACGTCTCCGTGCGAGTAGATGAGTTCTCCATGTTTTGTCTCCTCCTGCAGGATGAAGCCAACTAAGTCGTCTAAGTGCCACTGATGGTGTCTCATTTTCTCTCTTTTTGCCTTCACAGCAACAAGGTGCTGCCACCACGGTGTACTGCGCGGTGGCCCCAGAGCTGGAGGGTTTAGGCGGCATGTACTTTAACAACTGCTTCCGCTGCCAACCGTCCATCCAGGCACAGGATCCAAGCAATGCTGCTAGCCTGTGGGAGCTGAGTGAGCGCCTGGTTGCAGAGCGATCAGTCGGAGTTCAGTCCCTCTAACGGACTGAAATCCAGGCGGTGTGGGGAAGAAGTCACAGAAGCTTTTGATGTTGACTTAGGGGTGAACTTGATAAAAGACTCTGACTGTACAATACAAAAACTGCTAAACCACAGAGGTCTGCATGGATATGTCATCTCACTATGGGGCTAAAACATTCTACATACACAGGAAGGAGGGGATTTAATTTACAGTTGCAGTCCAGTTGTTTGTGTTGCTTTACAGTAGGAAGTAGGGAACTTAGAATGAACAGGTTATCTTTTTTTCCCCTGCTCTTTTCTCGTAACATTTTAACCACAACATTTTTGAGTTAGCATATGCTTGGATTACAGCTATGGTGCACTGTTTAAGAAAAATCGTCTTCCAAATGAATGTCTCTGTATTCGGTGTCATTAAGTCTACTGTTGTGCAGAATCTTCTGCCAAGAAATGGATTTTAACGGTTTGAGTTAAAGAAATACAACCTAGTGAGCATAGGACCCTCACAAAGATATAAACACAATAGAGGTATGTTTCTTTTGCCTATTTACATGATTCTGCGATAATCGTATCTTTATCAGTATCCCTACTAGTTATCTGTACAGTATTTACATCCACCTGATTTGAAGAGGGCATCCTAATTTCCTCCTTTCTATGATGGAACTAGAGCATCTGTACTAAATCTGAGTTACAATTTGGAGATTTATGGAATGATATTTCACCATCATTAAGAGTCTTATTTACAAACACCATGATCTCTGTTTCTTCTCTTGCTGTTAAACTAGAATTCATGATTTCAGTCTGTTTCTTTTTAAGCTGTGATCTTTAGTGTTGAGCCGCTGTATTTGGGTTGGGTTGTCCTGAAGCTGCTTGGAGGGCGATTCGCTTTTAAGACATTGTGCTTCATGGCAGTCCGGGTGCCGAAGGTTGTTCAATAAACAGCATTCCAGTGTCATAATATCTGTAATAAAAAGAGAGAGGGAAAAAATAAAAATTGGTGACAATTCAATAAATTAATGTGTTTGTTTTTCATGTCAAATCCTTGAAATACATTGATTTGGAGGCCAATGGGGGTTATATATGTTAAGCTAGTTGAGGAATAATATATCAGCTTTACTCTACCTTTGTTTGATATATATTAGATAAGAAATAAACATTAAACACAATAACGTATCATCAGATTTCTTTTCTTTTTTTTTTAAAGAAGAACTTTTACCTCCTGGTTTTAGAAGGTAAACCAATCATTCAATCATACAAACAGCCTCACAGATAAATTTTTATCAAGGGAATCTAGACAAAATAAATATATTCTCTTTTTAAACTGCACCATATGTCCAAATGTAAGCAAAAGGAAAATATGAAAATCATAAAACAGAGAGTGTCATGTTAGCACCTTCTTCTCATCACCCATGTTTCAGAAATAGTTAGAAAAAAAACATGACCAAAATAAAATAGCAAGATTAGGGCTGAAAAAATCTGACTGTGATTAATCAATTATTGAAATAATCAGTCCTTCAGTAATCGATTAATTGTTAATTAGAAAATAGACTGTAAAACATGCCTTTAGCTTAGAGCATTAATTAAATCAAAATTGTAAAAAATACATAAATATTTTGCATTTAAGTAAAAAAAAAAAAAAACTTTTTGTGTGTCAATATGCTCTATCCAAAACACCACAAGTTAAAAACCTAGTTTCACCTGGTTTGATTCTGTAAAAAATCTTCTTTAATGTATCAGATTGTTAATCAATGAATCCAAAAATAATGGACAGATTAATCAATTAGCCAAATAATCGTTAGTTGCAGCGCTAAACAAGATAAATGTTAATGGTGAGAACGTATTACACAGATTAGGAAATATGATAATCTGGAATCTGGATAATCTTATTTTGAACAGAAAATTGTTTTAACACCAATAAAAAAACAAGTAGAAAAAGTTCTCAACTTACATCTTACACTGTTCAAATTTTTATGTCTTATCAATGTTTTTGCTTTTACTCTCAAGTTTAATTTTCTTAAAAGCTTAAAACAGGCCTAAAAAAATGACACATATATAACACAGGTCCATCCTATGGCTCTGATTATTATTTGTTTTTGTTTTTTTCTGTATTTTGAAGAAAAAAGTTATAACACAAATGTTATCCTAATAAAAATATAAACAATACTGACAAGATAAGATTTAGATAAAAAAATACAAATGTTAACATTTTCTAAAGAAATGTAGATCCCCAATTTAACAATTTTAATCAAATACACTGCCAGTAAAGGTTACAGTCCTAAAGCCTTGTCATAACTTAAGGTGCAGGTGTCTTATCTCTGTCCTTTCACATCCCTGGACCCACATCAGAACACAGCAGCATCTGTGATATTCACACTCAGGAATTAACTGACAAAACATTTCATTACGTTTTCCAGGAAATGGAACGAGCTGGGTTCTATCTAAAAAAAATAACACATTATCTCAATAAGACCTTTATAAAAATAAAGAATGCCTCAGAGAAGCTCTAAGATGAATGCAGTGGCAGTGAGGTTAACTGTCATCTTGGGTGCTCTCCATGGTGCTGATTAGGCTGTCTAACATTTCATGCATATTTAAGAACATTGGCTGCCTGTTGGTCAATTTCAGATTATATCCTGACCATAAGCTTTTTTTTTTTTTCTGCACACTGCAAAAACGATCTAAAAATTAGTAAAAATTTCTTAAATTAAGTGTATTTACCCTTAATTTGAGCAGGTAAATAAGATAATCTGCAAATGGAATAAGCATTTTTACTCTTAAAATAATTAGAAAATAAGATAATTAGATATTATGCACTTGAAATAAGAGACTGTAGTTTTTTTTTCTTATTTTAAATGTAAATTTCCTTATTACATTGGCAAAGTGTAACACCTAACTGCTTGATTTAAGAAAAAATGCTCTTATTTTTAGAATAATAAACTTACTTAGATTTAATTTTTTTTGCAGTGCAGCCTTTTTGAACGTCAACATACATGTTCTGAAGACTTTAAAATCTTCCCAGATGATTCAGCCCTAGCAAACAGATCTCCAGTTTGTTCAGCATGTCCATTATTTATCTACACTTGACCTGTTGTTTTATCCAGTGGGTTATTAGGCTTATTTCAAAAGTAAACTTCTTTATTGTTACAACATAGCCTTGCTAGAAGAAAAGGGACATTGTTTTAAATTTCAATTATTATTATTATTATTATTTTTTTTTTAATTTATGGCATGTATACCGTAATTTTAAGATCAATACTCAGCCTGCTTAGTAGAACCTAGAGTGGCATGCCTTTAGTTTCTAAAAGGGGTTAAGTTGTACAATATTTGCAAAATAATTACCTTTAGTAAGACTAGATTGAAAGAGTCCATGAAACTCAATTGCACAATCTTACAAGAAATTCTCAAATGTATTTAGGCCTGATTTTCTACTTTGTTATTCCAATACATGAAAGGAACACTCCACTATTGCTCTACCTTTATGTTTTGCCATTCTGCTAGAAGGCGAACCTTCAACTCAGGCCCAAGCTTTTTGCAGCCTCTGACAAGTTTTCTTTTAAGATTGCCAATTATTCACCTCTATCCATCTAACCATTCTCTGCATTCCCCCCTCCCTGCTGAAAAAATGCCTCCCCATGTTTTCCATACCAAATGACATTTAAGGTCTCATCTGAACAAGATACCTTCTTAGATTTAATAAGTTGCTTTATTATCTACATCAGGGGTGCTCAAGTCCAGTCCTCAAGCGCTACCATCCTGTAATTTTTAGATGCATTTCTTCTCTAACACATCTGACTCTAAAGGCATATTCCCCTAATTTAGCTCAGCAGAGGTATGGTAATGATTCATTTGATTCAGTTGTGTTAAAATGAGGACTGGACTTGAGCACCCCTGCTCTATATGGATTTTTGCTAGACTGCAAACATATGGATTTATGGATTTATTTTTTATGCTTTTTTTCTTGCTGTATTTCTTTCTTAAAGCCTGTATTCGGCCGGAAACACTGATCCTGTCGACAGATTCTGCCACCTGAGCTGTGGATTTATACTTTCTCCTAAGTGGGCGTCTTGGTTTCTTCTTCATTTCATCTCTGCTTTATGGACCTTTACGGTTCTTCTGGTCATTCTCTTTGCATTACCAGATGAACAAATAGGCCTTTTTTTCCTCCTATCGCTCAAGAAGTACAAACTTTCAGCAGAAATGCTGCTTTTCTTCTATTCATCACTGTATGGTTTGGGTTTTTATCAAATCAAGACTGCACTAAACAGTTAGGTCTGCAGAGAGAACCACCAGAGCTTCCTTTTCTGATTGATTAATACAGGTCAGGGATCAGCAAAAGAGCCGCTAGCATATTTGCAAACCCTACACAGTCTGGATATAAACTGTTTAGACATTTGCCTTCTGTTTGGAAAATCGTGTTGGAACAAAGAAACTTTCTTTCCCTCCAGCTTCTCATTGACAAACAAATGTAACGAGCTTAGAACGATACAATGCATATTTTCTCTTAATAATAATAATAATAATAATACATTTTATTTGTAATGCACTTTACATTTAAGAAAAAATCTCAAATTGCTACAGGTAACATCATCATAGAAGAGTGAAATCAAAATTTAAAACTTAACATCGCTTTAAAACACTTATGAATAAGATCAATAGCATAATTGTAAAATGTTAGAAGTCATACGTCCTGCTAAAAAGAAATGTTTTTGATCTTTTATTCTCAACCTTAAATTCCTGTCATAAAATGTATTTATATATTTAGATTTAAAATATTTTCACTGACATCAAAGTAAAAGGGGATTAGTTACATAAATGCTTTGTCCACATAGTTTCGTTTACCACAACAAAACAAATAACCTGAGGAAAAACTTTGTACATACATGCAATGCAAAAACAAGAAAGAGCAACAATCATTCTGTATATTCTAGCCTAATCAAAATGCAGCATATTGTTAAGGAGTCTTGAGCCAAAGCAGAAGTGCATTAGTGTTCACCATGATAAGTGCTGTCTGAATATTGCTGGTACGAATGAAGGACGTAGGAAAAGGAAGCTTGGTATATAAAGTTAAATTAGCTTAAATTTTGTGATGTTCCTATCCACTATGAAACTATAAGGAATTCTATAATCTTTTGTTTGACAGGATGTACGGGCACAGACTACCTCATGGAAATGAACACAAATACAGTATTTCATCATGTGTACTGTGTGTGAGCTTCATCTGTTCAATAGATTTGTATAACATTTGTTTTTTGTAATTCTTCATTGGAAGGCTTTTTTTCACCTGTTTGATTAGCATCATCAACGTGCGTCTCCATTGCCTAATGATGATGGCACAGCTATCCAAATCACCTTTCCTACCAACAATAGTGTTCTTACTATTGATCCTATGAAAGGTGAAGGAAGAGAAGCTTGGAATTAAGATTTGCTGTAATCGCTCTGAGCCTCTGCCTATTGGAGATACAATAAGATGAATCAACAGCACTCAAAGTAAGTTTAAAAGGAGAGAGAAGTCTAAGAAGATTGCGCACCAAGAGAATCGGGCCAAGCTCGGATAGCACTATAAACATTGGTGTTCACTAAAGCAGCGAAAACATTCAAATTACTCTGCCAAGTTAATGACTGGTGAGTTAACGGCCTCACTAATGTTGATACCAGTTGTGGCAATTCTGTACTTAGACTCTTAGTTATGGTGACAGAAAAGTTTAAATACTGTAGTAAATTGCTTGTACTTATAACAGTGCCTATTTATGTCAGGGGACTCCATATCAATTCACACTACATTTAGTCATTCACACACACATTCAATTACTGATGATGGCAGGCTACGCAGTAACCCTGCTGTTGCCCCAGCAGAGCTGCCCCTCTGGTTGCTGCTGTCACCCCAAAATAACATTTTATAGGTTTTTTATTTTGTACAATATTCACAATTTTTCAGGTTTCCAATTTGGTAATCTATAGTGC